ATTATGTGTGGAATATAATGTAACGAATCTGGAGCGGCACCTGACCGATAGGCCAGCCGACTCATCAAACAAACACATGAACTCAAGTTAAAACGACTACAGAATTCTAAAAAGGACTTTTACCGATATAAGCTCGTCTTCCCGACCCAAGAGGGCAGTTCAAAAAGTGAATCGAGCGGCTAAACAAGGAATTCAAATGGTGGAAATAAATAAGCTTGTGATTATTGAAATATTGTTGGAAATAAACTTGCTTAAGATAGTTAATTCATTAATTTGTCACGATAACATCGTTCAAATGTCCGCCACGGCTTCTCTGGGTGGAGCGCATCCGAAACGTCTAATTTTCCATGACTGGCGCATAAATCAGGCTGACCAATGGGTTATGTTGGCTTTGAGGACCGCTGCGGTTTGTGGCTCATTCACATACACCTGCGACTTGAGAAAATCCCACAAAAAAAAGTCTAACGAGGTCAAATAGCGGGATCTCGGAGGCCAATTCACATCACCCCCATTGACAGTGATAGTCTGGCCTACGTCATTTTCAAAGAAATATGGACTGATGACGTCGCCAGCCCAAAATCCACACCAAACAGTGACTTTTTCGGAATGCATTGGACACTCTTGGATCTCATGTGGATTGCTATCGTTCCAAATTCGACAATTTTCTTTTCTTTTTTTTGGTACCTTGGGAGCTGTCTGACTTGTCCATTTAGTCCAAGTCTCCAGAAAATACTGCAGCCTCTTGGGCTTATTGCGTTTATTCTCCCATGTTTTCATGGCACCCATTCCATCAGTTCCATCAGGTTCCGTGTTGGATGTTCGTCATATTCTTCTGGGCGTAATTTTGTATGCCTATATATTGCCTGCCTCCTGTGATTCAGTGCCTCACATTCGCATAAGATATATAGAGCTGTTTCTGTCCCTTCGTTGCATAATCTGCAGCTGAGGTCTCCATTGTACAGCCCCATTTTATTCAGGTGTCCTAAAATATTTCAAAAATACACATAACATATACATTAACAAAATCTAGAAAAACCAAGAGACCCACTGACCATCGAGCTTAATAAATATATTTTGCACTTCAAAATTAAGTTACACCTCTTCCCATTCCAACATCAATGTTAATGAAAACTGTAGCTTGCGAGTCGGATTTTCATTCGTTTACCGGCCGAAACCTCAAAGTAAACCTTGTGAAAAAAATGTAACTCTTGAAAGTTCATTACAGCCTGGCAGAATATGACAGACTTTGAGCCCAGCTTCTGATTCAGGTTTTATATTCTAAAGGACAATTTTATCTTGACAATATTTTTGCGTTGACATTGATAAAATTTGTCATACATGTCCATAGTTTTGCTTTTATTGGTATTGAAAACCTATGCCTTGTCCATAAGAATATATCTTGAATAAAGTACAGTTGATGATTGATACAGTGATTGTTTGAAAAAATATTTAACAAGAAAAATAATATTTCAATCGATATTCTGAAAAACAATGTAACCACAAGTTGAAAATATAAAATTGAATATTAAACGATACATACCTGAGGTATATCTCCTGGCGTACGAGGAACATTTAACAAACTAGGTGTAATAATACTTGTGGAATTATCGTTTTTTGATACTTGGGCATTGGGAAATACGGCCAGTTCTTCAGGTCTCTTGCTTCTATTGACATGTTCTTGTCTTTTGTACCTTAATTTTCTCTCGGCCAAGAGATAATATGTAGCTGTGATGTGATTGTACTCATTTTTATCTAAAGATCTGTAATAAGAAGGCATGCAATTATATACAGGCACGGAGTAAAGTATTCATGGTATTTTACTGTTTTACAAAGGTATTAGAGAATATTTATACAACATATCACAAATACAGAAATTGAAATATTGCAGTAAGTAGTGAAATCTCTTACGAGAATATTGAGACAAATGAATAATGGTTTTAAAAAACACAAATGAAATATTGAAAAATAATAATAATAATAATAATTTATTAATAATAATAGCTATTTGGTAGAATTCTTTCGTGTAGTTCGTTTATCTTGTAATAAATTTTTACTGGTTTTCCTGGGAATAGTTG